AAAAGCATTTATTTGGTGGAGGAAGAAAATAACAAGTTCGAGTCTGTTATTAAGAAATAATATCAAATTAACAGCATTCCATTATCTGAAAACAGAATTTTACTAATGTGAATAGTTTTAGGTACTATACATAACTCATTGCTAATTTTGATGCTACAGTCAAAATTTTCTTGATTCAAAAAGCTTTTCCATTCTATGAAAGATACAAACTGTAAGGGAGATGAGACCAATCTATAATTTTGTTGACATAAGAATCTTATTTTTCCCTGTGTTTTTTTTATTTGCCAAATATAAATTACTGAAATTTGATTGTAATGAAAAAGTTTTGACTTTGTGATTTTTTTCAAGTGTGCTAATATTTTACACCCATCTGTAACTGTCAATTCCTTATTTGTCATTTTATTTCAGTTCTTGCACAAAGAGGCTACTTCAAAGATAAAGCTTTTGTAAATTATCTTAAATATTTACTTTATTGGAAAGAACCTGAATATGCAAAATACCTGAAGTAAGTGCTAAATTCCCTTAAGTTTCTGAATTTTAATGGTTTGGCATTGACCTAATTTTACACACTGCACAGCAGCATGTTAGGATTTCATTTCTGCCTGTAGTGTTACTTTTGTCCTCCCCACAACATAGATTATGCAAGATTATGGTTATATGCAAATGTAGATTTTCCTGTTTCCAGTAGTCCACATGTAGCAGCAATGGGCAAAATTATAAAAACTTCATGAGTTTTGCACAGAATCTTCCTTTAAAGCCTTAATTTGCACTTTCAGTGGGTTTAAAGTCAAACTATTGAACATTAGGGTAAAAAAGCAGTAAGTGCATTATAAGATCAGTTTTGCATTATTGTAGCTTACATGAGGCAAAGGATGACTGTGTTTTTGCAAGTGTGCAAATTCCTTCAGTTTTTGGGAAAATGGTCATCTTTAATTGGGCTCTGCAAGCAGGCCTTGTAAGGCTGGATGGATGGATGGATGGGGATGTTGGGATGGATGGATGGATTTGGTCTATCAAATCAAGCCACTGGGGAAGATACTCTAAGTAAGCAGGAATGTGCATTTATTACTGGGATTGGATTCCTTGCTTCCTGGCCTGATGCTGCAGTTACGAAGTCACAGTGTGCATGCTGAAGTGGTTTCACACTTGGGTAAAGACAGAGTCAAAGCTAACAGGAGTACTGGAGACTCTAGATTTAGTGTCCCTTGTAAAAACCTGTATTAAAGTGTGTTTATTTTAACCCAGGTATCCTCAGTGTTTGCATATGCTAGAGCTGCTCCAGTATGAGCATTTCCGCAAAGAACTGGTCAATGCTCAGTGTGCCAAATTTATTGATGAGCAACAGATCCTCCACTGGCAGCACTATTCCCGGAAAAGGATGCGCCTCCAGCAGGCACTGGCTGAGCAGCAGCAGCAAAACAACACCTCTGTAAAATGAAAAGCACATGGAGCAGTGATGATAAGGTGCACTTTGTGTTAGTGAAGTATTTACAGGAGATGAATGTTCAAACCCTTGTGCAAGTTTGGCTCTGGGTGTGTGTCCCTTTTATTTGAATTTATCAAGTGACTGGGGTTGGTTTTGTTTCATCAACTCTTTTAAAGACTAATAAACACCTGCAATTTATTTTATAGCATGGACAGTTTTGTAAGAGCTTTACTACAATAGTTATTGATTCCTCTTGATTTTGAAAACAAAATCTAGATTTGTTACTTACTATCTACAAAGAAGTATAGCTGTAAAGGCTGTTCCTAGGAAGCCTTTTCCCTGGAGAATAATGATGTGTCTTCAAGTGTCACTGAGAACTCCCTGCTACTTACAGCTCTGGGACAAGCAAAGGTGAAGTGATGATAGACAAAGTCAAACTGTGCAGTTTTTCCTTGAAACCAAGCTGAGCTATTACTTTTCACTTCTCTTTCCCAGTCATTGCTGATGGAAGTTAGTTTTCCTTACAGCACGTTGTACAGATAGAAATCAGGAGTGTACAGGGTGAGGTCTGGGGAGCAGAGCAGAGCAGAGATAGGTGCTGATAAACTCTGCAGCATAGAGAAGGAAACAAGCTGTAGCTGTCTCTGTTCTATTAAACTCAGCTTCCTTGAATCTTGGCCTCTGCCTGTGCAGCAGTGGCTGCTCTGGAGTCTGTGTGTGGGGAAATGGGCCATTGCTTGGAGTACTGGAGAAGCACTTTATTCCTGTATAGTTTTTTATTCTAAGAACATAGCTCTTGGCAGCTGCCAGGGTTTTAATTTTCATATTTTTAGACTGTATTTCTGGTGCATTCATGTTGTATTTCCTGTCCTTGTAGGAGCAGGTACTCCCAGCATGTCATCAGTGACACTACAGCTGCCAGCCGTCACATTATCACACTCGGAATGAACAGATAAACCATTAAACATCTTTGGCATTGAGAATTTATCAGTAATTATGTGGTCAGGCTTAGGAAGGAGGTCTTTCTGTTTCTCCCCTTCCTCCTTACTCACTGTAATTTGCAGTTACACTTCAGTAAGTGCAGGCTAATCTGCCTTTCAAACATGAGCTCAGCTCCTCTGAAAAGAGGTTGTTCACAAACTCATTTATTTGGACATGAAAGGAAAGATACAGTTTTTCTTCTAAGATTTTAGTGTAAAGTTTGGACCCAGAATTTCAGGACATTTATCTTGATTTATCCAAAGTAATTAATAATTAAAGTTTTAACAAAGTTCAGTGATTCCTTGAAAGGACAGTGCAGTAATTGAGACTACCACCTTCATCAATGATTGACTAGTGAGGGCTTCAGTCTTCAGTAAACAACATACGCACAAGCTCTGATTTAAAACATTCTTCTTCAACCAGCTTCTGAGGCTGAAAGAAAAAAGTTCATAATTAAAAAACCTGTTCTAGCTGAGAGCCATTTGTACATACTAACATTAGCCACGTCCAGCAACTTTGTCCTGGTGAGTGAAGTAGTGGGGGTGCAACAAGAAAGGTTACAACTAAAGCAATCCTGAGGGTTTTCTGGCCTTGGAAGAGGCATTTCTAAGAAAGCAACATGTACAAGTTACAACTTGAGCTGCAGTCTGAGTGCTCGGAACTTGTTTCACTCCCCTAGTTCAGTGTTCGGATTTTTCAAAAGTTGAGGAGCTGCAAATCAGAAACAGTAACAGTATGTAGCTAAGAAGTTTCTCAACCCCTCAAGCACTATGAGCCAAGTGCACATATTTCCTTTACAGCATGTTTATTGAAGACATTACACAATAAGAAGAATGGTTGTCCCTTGAGGAACTGGGAGCAGAAGAGCTGTTTAGAATGCTCTGATGTCCTTGAACAAGAGAGGTTTCTCAGAGAATACAAGTGACTAATTCATTTACAGCCCTAAATTCCTGTCAGGTCCCCATCTCAATGTCTGCAGATCCAGAACATAAAACAAATCACTTACTGTTCCATATTTAAGTAGTGTAGGCACTCCTGTAAGTTTCAGATTCCTCCTGAATTCATTGTTGGGATCCTTCCAGCTGTTCAGAAAGAAGGTGTTAGGCACAGCTTGTAGAGGGGCATTTTGAAGTTAAAATAGCTTCAAAATTATTCAAAGGCCTTTGCCTCACACCTTCTCAATGCCCTTCTCAAAACAAGCATGCAGATAGGTTATGTCAGAGATGGTGAAGACCTCAAAAATGATAGACTCTTTACAGAAAAGGACAGCTCAGTCAGTTTTTTCAACAGGTTAACCACCAGTCCACCAAGAGAACAAAGTTATCCCATTTGTCAGCATTCAAAGGTACTTACTAGGCTCTATCTCCTACTAGACAGTAGATGAAAACTGACTCATCAGGCAGGTTATGAAGTTCCTTCCTCACAATTGGCTCAGCTAGAAAAAAATTTTTAAAATCTTTTAGTACTTAATACTTGTGCTGCAAGATCACATGCATCTACTTGGACCGGCAAGGCAGCTAATTAGTATTTTGTCTGCTTTAGTTAGAGATCTGTATTTCGTTGCACCTGGCTACCCACAAGTTTTTCAGAGTTTATTACATGCTCGAACCCTGACTGGACTTGTGTTGGAGTAAAGGCCAATTTCTTCTCTTAACACGAAGAGAAACACTCGTTCTGTCCTGTCCTGGGTGTGGTAGCGCAGCACAGCGCCCTTCTGTAGGCAGACGGTTCCCTAAGGCACCTTCATACCTGCTCAGACACGTAAAGCCCCGGCAGTTCAGTGCGGTGATTTCTCAGAAGGAAATGCTGCCGCTGGGCACGGTCGGGGAGGCACCGCTGCGGCTGCACTGTGCAGCACGGTGACACTGACCGCAGCACTCGGGTCTGCTCGCTTGCCGGTTGTGTGCCAGCCTCCGCCAACAGCCCGTGCCGTTCCATGTGCGCCACACAGCCCGCTCAGCCCGCTCGGTTCACCAGGGCAAAGTGCCCTGGAGCGCGGCCCCGCCGCGGGGCTGCTGTGCCCGCCCGGCATTTTCCGGAAAGGCACCCGGGGCCTCTCCGGCTTCCTCAGGACCGACACGGCCCTGCGCTCCCCCCACGGGCCTCACCCGTCACGCAGTCGGGACACCAGCTCCTGCCCTCGGCGTCCTTATCGCCGCAGAAGAGCGCGAAGATGGGCCGGCCGTGGTAGCTCTGCGCCGTCCGCACGAACTCGGAGTACCCGCGGACCTGCCTCTCCTCCCAGCCCATGGCGGCAGCGACGGAGGCTCCGCCCGGCGCGGCCCGCGCGGCCGCCGTAGCTCCGCGCGCTCCCGGCGGCCCCTGCGGCGGCGGGACTGGGTTCGAACGGCGCCTGCTGCGGCCCGGGCCTCCCGTCCGTCCTTCCGTCCGTCCCTCCCTCCGTCCGTCTGTCCCTCCGTCCCTCCCTCCGTTCCTCCGTTCGTCCGCCCCTCCCTTGCGGCAGCGCCCGGGGCCCGCCGTGCCGGTGCCGCCCGGGACGCCGTGAGGGCCAGGGGCGGGAGCAGCCGCGGGCCCTGTGCGGCTGCGGAGAGGCCGCCCCAGGCTGTCCGCGGCCCCTCGGGCTGGTTCTCACTTTGTTACTCACATCAGGCCCGGGATGGCTTTTGCCAGCCTGAAGTAGCGGCTCACTGCTCTCGCATTCACAGCTGTGATCACGGGCAAGGGATAATAGCGGGATTTGCTCTCGAGCCGATGAGATGGTACCAAGCAAGACAGCGGTGTCTGATGGTGCGTTTGCATTCACCACCCAGCGATACGGGAATGAAGCTAAAGCTTTACAAACACAGGTACCATTTGCTGTCTGTAGTGATGCTGAATTGGTTTTCTTTGTGATTGTAACAAAAAGATGATTCTGACCCACTTCATGAGGCAGCCCAGCAAGGAGTGTCATACTAGCTTTCCTCGTGCTGTCACATTAACTTGACACTGTCCTTTAGTAAGGCTAGATATCACAAGCTCTATGTGTAATTATTCTTAATTGTCTGTTGTGGTTCAATCCCAGTAGGCAGCTGAGCATGCACCCACTTGCTCACCCTCTCCCAGCTGGGATGGGGAAGAGAACTGGAAGGCGAAAAGTATGAAAAATTATGGGTTGTGATGAAGGCAGGTTAACAGGGAAGGCAAATGCTTTCCTGTTTGTGTGCACAAACAAAGCAAAATAAGGAATTTATTCTCTCCATCCATGAGCAGGCAGGAATTCAGCCATTTTCATTACTTCAGCACATATAACAGTGACTGAGGAAGACAAATGCTGTCACCAGTCTCCCCTTTCTCCTTCTTCCCTGCAGCTTTTACTGCTAGGCATGATCCCCCAGGGTGTGGAATACGCCTTTTGTCAGATGGGGTCAGCCATTCAGTTGTTTCTTCTCTAGCTTCTTGCCCACCCCCAGGCTACTAGTGGTGAGCAGGTGAGGAGCAGAAAAGGCCTTGACCTCTGTGAGCACCGCTTAGCAAGAATGAAAACATTGGTGTCCTGTTAGCACTGTGTTCATCATAAATCCAAAACAGTTGCATCACCTGTGTATAGCATTCTGTATAACATCAGGGTTTTTTTTACACTTTGAACAGCTCCAGTTTAATAGAAATGTTCCTGCAGTTCCAGAGAACTTGGCTCTCAGATTCTCTCACCCCCGTCCAATTATAATAGAAAAACTGAAGGTGTCCAGTGATCAGAGAAATCTCATTGGAAATGAGGACCTCAGCCTGAGAAGCTCTGGGATGTTCTCAGTGGTATCTGAAGAGAGACTTAAATTGGCTGTTCAGCTGGCAAAAAGGGACATCAAACAAAGACGTCTCAAAGAACAAGTGAAGCAGCAGGTATTTGGAGATGTCCTCAGTACACCGTTGTGGGCCCAGAAATCACAGCCGCAGAAGACTGAAGTATTTGCAAGTCGAGAAAATAAAAATACCCTGAAGTCTCAGACTCACTTGACATGTCAGCAGAGGCTTGCCCAGCCTTCCCGAGGGGGGTCTGCCAGCTCTGACACGAACGTTCATCTCTGTGCAGTTAAGGAAGGAGAGCCAATACCAGCTGTTTTGGACTCTCCTCCCACTCAGGACACAGGACCAGACCCCAAGCAAAATTTAAATAAAAAAACCCATCAAAATATGCTGGAAGTCCAACGTCTGCAAAAAGAATTGAGGAGCTATGTCCAGAAAATTGAAGATATTATTAAAAAAGGTGTAAGACTGAACAGTAATTATGTTATATACATGTACACTAGTTTGTTGATCCCCCCCCCCACACACACACACATTTTTTGGGTTGGATTAGAATTTGTATTTATGTCTGGACTTTTGAGAACAATCTATTTTTTTTAAAAGTAAATAAAAGAATAGCTAGCCAGCTTAAGCAGTTGGTGCTTTTGTAATAACTAGCAGGGGGTTTAACCGTTCCTAATTTTGAGTGCTTTATCTGCAACTTTGTCATAAAACTAATCATAAACGTGATTTTTTAAATAACTAATGAGCTATATTGTATTAGACTGTTTAGTCAAATTCTAAATAGAAACAGGATGTAGAGTTTACAATAACTAACTTGCATTACTGTTAAAGGAACCCCCACAAATATGTGGTTTGGTTTTGCACGGAAAAGGCTTATTACTAAATTATGTCTGTTGTCATGACTTAATTGGCATTTTCATAGGTTAAATTAAGATATAAAACTTTATATTCTGTGCTTTTTAGGGAGAGATAGAGAACTTCTAGATCCTGAAAATGAGCAGCGGCTTTGCAGTAGGAGACAGCAACAGGCTGCACGGTCAGCTCGGATGCTGTATGTGCTCCAGCAACAGGTGGGAGCCATGGTTTTAAACTGGGATGCATAGGAGCTTATTTTGTTGTGATGAATTTGTCAGAAACTAACTGAAACAAGAGAAGTTATCTCTGAACTTGTACGGCATTCTAGTTTAGATCTGAATGGTGTGACTGGTTTCCTTCATGGCTGGACAGAGAGGTGAGCATCACTGTTGGAAAATCTCAGATGCTACAGTGAAGATCTATTGTTCATTTATAGCCACAGAACTAATTCTGACTGACTTGCTCCTCTCTGTTTCCTTTCTTCATAAACAGGTAAAAGAAATTCAGGATGATTTAGAGAAACTGAGTCCTCATACAATCAAACATACTAAAAAGGTAAGATGTAATTATCCTTCAGGCTGTAAGTGACTTATTGACAGTTTTCTGGATAATTGAGTTTGATTGTCTGGGTGGCAGCTAAGCCCTTTCCAGAAAGGAGATTTCCTTTGTATCTTACATATTTCATCTCATTCCCCAAGAAGTATGGCTCACTTGGCCTGATACTGCCTTTGCTGCCTCATGTCTCATCTGCAGTAAATGAGAGGAAGGTGGTTGGTCTTCTGCGTTTATGTGGCTTCTAATTCCTTCTTCATTCCAATTTCTTTTTGCAAGGAATTAGCAATGTGTTCTACTCTTGACTGCTTTTTTTAGACTTCTGGTTGATGACACTCAGTCTTACCAGCCTTCTTTCTGATTTTCTTCTCTGTCCAGCACCTTTCAGGGGGATGGCTGAGATCATGCCCACAGTCTAGCCAATGTTGCCCTGATGTTCTCTTGTCCTTTTTCAATCACCTGCATTTTCTTCTGTAACAAAACAAGGAGGATTGAGAATATCCTTGTTTGTGCAATTGTTGCACATTAGACTCTAGCCAACTGTAAATGACTACCGTTCTGTGTTGGCACAGGTAGTAGAAACATCATGACATGTTATACCCAGGCTGTTTTACCTGAGGCCAGCATGACGTTGATAGGAGTACTCTTGTGAGGAATCTTGAGTTTTGTTTTGTCTCACAAATGGATTAATATCAATTAAAATTATTCCAAGCCTGAGTGTTTCTGCATGACATTTTGGCAACAATTCTTCCAGTGCTGTAAGTATCCATAGAAGCTATAGTTATTAAAGCATTTATTTATTTTTAATTTTTCCAGTCTCGAGCAGTATCCAGGTTGGCAGCAGCACACAGAGGAGCTGTACGAACCTTGCAGGCATTTGCCAATCAGTTTACAGATCAAACAGATGAGCAGATTCCTGCCCACTACAAGGAACTGGGCAGTCTCATTCGTCAGCTGTCTCTCTGCTCCGCCAAACTAGAAGGGAATTCTTCCATTTCTGAAGCTATCATAGACATTTTGCTGCAAGTCGAGGTAGGAAAAAAACATTTGTTTTTGCTAAGGCAGGAAAGAGGTGGTGAAATATGGGATTGTGTTAATGAAATGGCAGAATATATTACTGGATTTGTTTTTATTTTTTAAAGGCCATATTTTCTAATGTAAAAATGTACTTCTAATGTTCCTAAGTAATGGTGGTCTAAAAGAGACATGCATACTAAACACAGAATCTACCTACTGCTGGTCTTGTTGATGCTGTTCCTAGCTTTCTTGGCTGTCCTGGTAGAATGAGGACTAGTGGCGATAGTCATAACAAAGCATCAGTTTCTAATTCATTAGTTATTTTCAGGACAGAGAGAATTCATTTTATACATAGGTATGCATTAATGTTTTATTACCCTGGATGCATGCTTTAGTCATCACTATCAGTAGGGAGCACCTGAGCATCTCATACGGTATTGCGTGCAGAGTTGTCCAGGCAGAAGATAAAGTTGTGGGTACAAGAGTTACTTGGCTCTGTGCCCTTCAATATCTTTTTTAATGATATCTGATGACTTACACATGTCATTGGTATCATAGAAAAGTTCTGATTCATGTTGCCTGCTGCATAAATTAAAAAAAGCAATACCAGAGCCATAAGATACTTTCCTTAAAATACTGTTAAAACTGTAAGAGCTGTGTTTTTAATTTTAGTGTTAGGACCTGCTTATGAGGACAGTAAGAGTGCTAACTGCCTGGGAATGGAAAATGAGGTAGTTGTTTAAGTTTGGACATAGCATTGCAAGAAGTGTCTGTGTTACCATAGTCATGTGACTGTGAAATTTTTGTTGGTCTGTAGCCCTTGTGTTCAATTCTTTTTGAGCATTCTTTAAGCAAATGGTTTGCTGGAGTCAGTTGTAAATACAAAAATGTAAGCCTTTTCAGCAAGATTGAAGTTAATAATGTGAAAAAATTTCCACATGAACAAGCTATCAGTCTGAAAAAATCTGAAAGTTATCATCTGAAAAAAAAAAACCAATCAAAAAAAAAAACCCAAAAAAACCCAAAAAACACAAAAACAAAAAAAAGCCAAAACCAGACCACAAAAGCTCCAGCTGCTTAGAATGTCTTGAATTTGCTTTTCATTACATCAGATTTACTGAGAGAGTAATTAAAACTCTAAATATTTGGTGCAGGATCTAAATTCACTGCTGGAAAGCAAGCAAACACCAAAAGCAGTGAAGAAATGCATTTCAGCTTCTCAGGCCAAATCTCCAAGGAACACCGAGACGTTTCCAGACAGAAAGCACTTTCTGTCTCCAAAAGGACAAAAGAAACCTCTCACCTTAAAGGGACAGCATGGACAAGAGTCTAAAAAACCTCCATGTGCCAGGAGGCTTTTGACTGGTTTGTATTTTGAGTAACTAAATACATTTTTATCACTTAACTTGCCATCTGCAGTTCAGTTTTTTAGTATGGTATTGTTGGTCAGAAGTTGGTTAGATGTTAGCAAATCAGTCTAACAAAAACCAGGCTGTGGTTGTTTAACTGTTCATACTGAAAAGTTATTCTGTGTCTTTGGCTCAGAATTCCCTTGGTTGGTACAATTTATTTACTTCTGGGAGCACTGGCTCTTTTATCCTGGCCAGTTAATTACTGTTAATAGCTTTTGCACAACAGTCACACTTTTGTACCTAGAGACACGTGAGCTGGTGGTTAAGCTGAAGACTTGGGGGGGTTTTCACCACTGTCTTGCAGTGCAACTGTTTGGAATTGGCTTTCTGTAGCATTCTTTTGCTTTGGATATGAAAAGAAAGGATCTTTATCCTTTCTCAAGGTGTTGTGAGATAAATATACCTAAATTGTTTTGGCACTTCATGAAAGCCACTGTAAGTTCTTACATTATTATAATATAAACTATAATAACGGTTTTTCTTCTTTGTGGTGACTTTCTCATATCTCAGGCTGGTTTGTACTACAATAGTAAGTATTCCCTACTGTCCCCAGGTAGCAAGAATTCCATATGCTGAATTCTGGCAGTCCAGGGAGACAGTATATAAACATGTCATGGTTTCCATGTGTCTTGCTGCCTAAAAGAGGATGCTTTGTTATCACTGCCTAGATCTCATATAGCAATTGCTCCCAAAAGACTTTCCCATGACTTGCATATATATGTGTATATATATATATTGTGTATATATTTTTTTTCAAATATCTCTGTACATATAAATATGTACATGCACACAAGCCCCAAACCTTCCAGTTCATCAAAACAATGTAAGAAATACAATTTATTTAATACTTGTCAGGAAATACAAGGCTAGAATTTTTCATTTTGTCTTTGATTTTTATAAAATTATGGTAGAGCTTAAAAGTTCATGATAAGGTATACCTAGACAAAGGTATCAAATACAGAAAAAAAGACAATTCTTGCCCCTTTCAAATTACAGTTAACAGTTCATATGTTATTTTTAGTATAGATAAACACTGACATGTTGCAAATATTTCAGCAGTTCAACAGACAAACAGTTGTGCTCATACATTACACAATAAATGCCAAGAAGAAAGTGGTCCACCTACTTCAGAGAGAAATGCCACTTTGCAAGGAAGCACAGATGTACTGGTGAGAGCTAGAGCTGTAAAAAAGGATTCTGTCCTTGAAAGTGGTGCTTTGAAGAAGAAAGTTGTGTTATTGCCTGCAAAACCACAGGTATGGAAGTGATAAATCATTCATGTTGTCTTCTACTTGTTTTCTGGGATTTGTTGTATAATATAAGACACTGTCAAAGCTTCACATTTCCTCACAATATTGCTATTCTGAGCTAGGAGACCTAGGGGGATAAACTGTGTCATCTGCCTGTTATTTCTAGTGGTTATGACTATTTTAGCAAATGTTTTTTGAAAACAGTGTTTACTGTTCCTTGGAAATACACTCTACAACTAGAAACAGCAACAGAATTGGTAAGGAAAATGCTCACTGAAACTAGTTTCATGTTTGAAATTAAGGGTTTTTTTTAATCTGAAATTAAAGCTGAAGTATCTTCCTCCTCTGGTCATTCTCTATCACAAAAAATGCACTCAGCAGTAATGTGCTAATGTTAGTAGGGGAATATAAGTTACTCAGGCTTACTTATTTTGATAACAGAAATTATAAAATTATTTTATCATTAACACTATACAGGTTCTGGTTTCTGCTAAGTCCTTGCAACCGGGAAGAAGCTCCCTAGTGGAAAGAAAACAATTCTTAAAAGACTAAGGCTATATTTTGCTAAGAAGTGTATTTTTCTTTTATTCATTCCTCAGAGTATCACTTTTAACTAGGAAAATAAAATCTGACACAGTAACATAGGTATATGCCTATGTAACTTCTAGTGCTTCCTATCCCTGTGGATCAGTGAGGATCATGGGCAGGAAGGTTAAGCATTTCAATAATTCATATAGAGGGGATGAGCCTAAGTGACCTTGTAACAGATGTAAATGTGGGAATATTATAGTTTTGTGGCTAAATACAATGTTACCTTGGAAACCTTCTATTTGGATTTATAAATGGTTTACATAGAGTGTAATTCTGAAACATCAAAAGTAAGTTTTTTCCCCATGAAGAAAAACAGTGGAAAAGGTGGAACTGTTTGCAAAAATAATAGTCGCAGGATTAAGCATGTGTGCTGTTCAGGCACAGCTGTACTTCCCTTTAAAGCACTTGTAAATCCTTCACATACATCAACTGCAGCAAAGCCAGCAGGCATGATTTCAAGATAATGCCAAATACTTTAAAAATTCAACCACCGGAATAGGTGATTTAATGTGATCATGTTAATTTTAAGGGAATGCTGAAATCTTTAAAATCAAGACGGGCAAACCCTCCAGGAAAGCATGCCCGATTTCAAGAACCAACTATAGCTTTCCAACTAAAAGAGAACAGACGACCTGCTAAGGAGAGCAAAATGCCTTGCGTGCCTTCAAAGCCTCCAGCTCGGTGTGTTTCACCTAAGCGGTATGTTTGCAGTCCCCGGCACCCACCTTTGCTTCCCAGTGGAAACGCTTCTGGATCTGTGCTAGTGGTTAGAGTAGAGTTGGCCAGGCTTCAGTCCAGTGCCACAGCACAGCTCGCTGTCACACAGCTCCTCTCTTTTCCCACTTGGCCCAGAGCAGCCCCATTCCGTAAAGCCTGGGAAGAGCCAGGGCTTTTGTCTTTTGTTGGAGTTGCTGCCTGGGAGTCAAGGGCCAGCTGTGCAAGGCGGGGCAGTGTCAAAACACAGCAGGAGGAGTGGGTATTCCCAGCACTGCATTAAGAAGGTAAATTTTATCTCCCTGTTTCAGAAGGACAAGATACATATATTTGTCCCAGACAATAATAAAGTGCAGATTTGTTTACTCTAAACTCTATTCAACATACTGTTAGACAGGGGTCTCCAAATTTAGGTTGGTTTGGGACTGGTGTTTGTGGCATTTGAAGCAGGAGATCCAGATGCTGGATCCATACTAGGCAGTATGCATGGTAAGATGAGGAGCTCATTTATCTGGATGGTATTTGTGGATAAGCATGTAGTTCCTGTTACAGCAGAAACATGATTCAAGATCCCTCATTCTCAACAGAATTTTCTGGATTACATGGTTTTAGTCTATTAATTTTCTCTCCGAAGTTTCTTGTAACTCTTCCAAACTAATACTGGAAATCACACTATTGCATTCTTCAGTTGTTAGAGTGTACATGTTGTAACTCTCTATGCTACTGTGCTATTTTTGAAGACTAGCAAGGCTTGAAGCAAAAAATTCAAGAGGAGTGAAGATTCTAACTGACCTTTGCAGAGGAGAAATGGAAAAAATACAGAAGTTAAGGTAATGACTTTCTTTGAAAAATCTCATAAGAGGTGTCAGATCTGATATGAGCTTCTCCCCACTCCCAACAGTGGGAGTAAATGTAAAAATACATTTATGTAGTTTGGTGTTTTAAATTATTGTTGACATACCAGGTTTCAGAATGGCATTGTCATTTGTTCTTCTTTGTGCAGGTCACAAACTCTTTCTCCATCCCCGTGTGCAGACAAAGCTGGGAAGGAGACACAGGAGTGGTCAGAGCCTCCATTAGACAGGACACAGGTAGTACAGGCAAGCTCATGCCACTGCGTGAATGATGCCTTGAGAGCTGTCAAACATTTGTAAAGGGGCAACAAACAGTTCACTTTCAACTTAATGCAAGTCACTTTTGTTTTGGTTTGGGGTTTTTTCTTTCTTTCTTGTATTGGGTTTATGTCTTTTTGTTTTCTGTAGCATTTGTTTTTGGGATTTGTGTTTTTAAGGAGCAGGTTGCAACAAATGCAGATATTCTGAGTGAAGAGCTATTGGATGATCTTTTGGAAGATACTGCTCAGGAGCTGTGGAGCATGGATCAGCAGGAGAGACTCCAGGCTGAGGCCCTGCCTGTGGCTGACACCCATAGCCTGGAGTCAATGTTGCAAAGAATGGAAGAAATTGAAGTAAGATTTTCTGTCTTAGTTTCATTTGTGTCAATTTTTTATTACTGTCCATAAATGATAATATCTGTAAGTATCTACATTCTTAAATGAAGCAAGGTCTGACTGGATAAGTGTCTGAGATCAAAGACCTGGACGGAGTTGGTGCTTCCAGAAGACACAGTCTAAGAACAGAAGCAGAGTGTTTGATTAATCTGTTGCTGTAAAGTTGGCAGACCTGAGTTTGCAACCCATCTCAAGACTTTGTGGCTTAAATCTTTGTGTGTGAATGGGAGAATCAGTATGGTGATTATGTTGATTGTCTAACAGAATGGAAAGTATTTTAATATTAATTTGAATTTTTCCCTTTTGTGTGCTATAGAGTCTCAGTATTCTAGTAGCATGACCATCTTGAGGAAATATGCTCTGGCAATCCAAAATATTTCACAGGGCAACATGGAGAACTCAGACAAATACATGGTTATCTGTGCCTTTTATTCATCTTTCATATAAATATTCTTAAGGTTATGGTTTACTTGACTTGAGCTTTCTCATATATTGCTTTTTTAAAAGTTTTCTTCAGTCTGTTTTTTCATAGTTTCTGGTTTGAGTTCCATTGTGACTTAGAACTACTCAGCTTAGTGGCATTTACTCCTAGAGATGTGTTCCTCAGTTGGCAGTGTGAAGTTGCAGTGTCCTTGTTCCTGAGGCACTGGAGCACACACTTGGATTCACTGTTGGTAGGCAGGAGCAGCTCAAGGGCCCTTCAGTTGTTGGGCTAAGGGCTGTTGGTCTGAAATGGGAGGAGTTCCCATGAGACTGGCGATTAGTTTTGTGTTTGAGAATGACATTTTGAACCAGAGAAGTGTCTGTATTTTCAATCCCCCGCCCCTTTTCTGTGCTGTGTTACCGGCCAAAGTAAGCCTGCTTAGCCCAAGGAGGATCATGACTCGCTTTGCTGTTAGTGCTCATCAGTACAGCTGTGCTCACCCACTCGTGTGTGTGTTCTACCACAGAGGTACCAGGAGGCTGTCCGCAGGAGAGTCACCCAGATTGTCTACAGTGACTCCCAGTTCTGGGCCCAGGAGGACAAAATGGGTAATTGTCTTTTTTAATGCAACCTGGTTTCCCTGTAATCTGTAGGTTTAAATTCAGATGTTTTGAAATCAAGGTAATTGGATTATGTGTGATCAAGTAGCACCACTCTGGCACATTTTTTCCACAGGTGCTTCTTTCAGAGGGCAGTTTCTAAGATGTAGTTCTAAAATCAGTACTTTATCAGCACTCCTTTTCTTTATCCTGTGGTTTGATTGAGTAGCATAGTGAAGCTACATTGATTTTCCATTGGATCACATACAACTTTACTGAAACTGTATTGTTAAACACAAGTTGGAAAATCTCCCAGTAAGACTGATGAAGATTTACCCCAAATCTTCATAGATTCTTTTTCCATGTCTTGGATTTACCACTGAATTTGAGAGACTGTGCTATTTTTACAGTGATATTTTCTATCTCTCTGCTAGAAGTATGCAGCACAAAATGATTTACACTAAAGGTAGTATTTCTAAAATGCTCAGCTTTAATACACTGAGCTGTATTTATGTTTTTTTCTAATTTTGAATACTTTACTTACCTGGAGGACTTCCCCTTAAAAGAAACAAAAGTCTTTGTGAGGACTTAACCTGCAGTAGATGTAGTTTTTCTCTTTCAGAAAACCAATTTAAAATAATGTTTTCTTCCTTCTAGAACAACAAATGGCATCAACAGCTAAAAAACTTACATCTCCTCATCCAGTTCAGATAACCAAATTAATCAGACACGGAGAACTGGAAACAGACATTTTATTTGAGGAACCTTTTGACCCCACGTAAGTGAAATACTTGGCCCTACACTCAACTGTGGTGCATAAGATCTACGTGACTTCATTATAGTGTTTTCATTACACTGACTCTTCAAAAAGAGACTTAAAAATTTAGTTTTGTCTTGATGATTATTTTATATTTCCAGTGTTATTGATGAAAATAAAGAAGCAGATGAGAAATTGCAGACTGGAAATGACATTCTGCAGCCCTTGCCTCTGAATTCTCTACAGAAAGCATATTCTGTGTCTCTCTCTGTGCCAAGCAATGTGCTCCAGAGCATCTTGGATTATAACAGCAGATACAAGCATCATTTAAAGCTTATTTCCCATGAGGTCGTGGGCAGTTTCAATCCATGGCAGATTGCTGAGAGGTATATGAACTGTCTTTTTGTTTTGGAAGTGAAAGACTGGAATTTGAAAGTGGACTTTCTGAACCTTCTCCTTGTTTTTCCCTCTCTCTCCCTTAGTCTTGCAGAGCAACTGACAGAAGAAGCCCTGTGTGACGTGGCAGCAGAGCTGCAGGATGTTTGTGAGGACTATGCAGAAGCTGTATTCACGTCAGAGTTTTTGCAGCCTGTGCAGTGAATTCTTTCCCACCTGTTCCATCAACGTCAGCCTCAACAGTCTGTGACGTTTTCTGCTCTGGATCTCCATCAAAGATTCATCTTAGGTTTTTATAAAGCCATTATTATAACATTTTCCTTTTCCGAAAGGACATGCTTGCTTTTCCTTTTTTTGGCTAATCACCTTAGCACATGCTACCCTGGAGTGAGTTCTTTTGGAGATGTAGCAATCCAGGGAAGGATTCTCATGGCACAGCACAAATATGCAAACACTTGTCACTGACTGTACTTGCAGGCTTGCTTGGGCTCTTGCCGTCAGCTTCAGAATGGAGTTCCTGACTGTCTAGTACATAATGCACAGGCAAAAGGAGACCTTCCAATAGAAGCACGTGATAGAGATCTTACTTTCTTTTTCTTAAACTAGTCTAAAATGTTACATTTTTATCAGCATTTAGTGAGTGATTCAACCCCACATTCCTTTCTCTTAAGAATCCCATTGAAATCAAGAACAACAAAATAAATGAGCAATTGGCATTTCTGCAACATTAAATTAACTTGTTTCAAGTAATCAAGGTAATAGTTTGGATTATGTCTGGAGTCAGAGCAGCGACTAATAATTACTTACATAGTATTATAGGGAAATGCATATGACATTCTGTTTCCTTTGTCAACTTTTTTCTCCAATGTTGTTCAATCTATAACACATTCATTTATAATCTTCTAAGATTATTTTTATTTCTTCCAATTAGAAAATATATTTTAAAAGTAATTTAGTTTCTATTGAAGCCTGGTTTACTATTTCAATCATTCTCAAATTTACATCAATTATAATGATGTAAATGTTACTGCTGAAGTGGAACTTTGCTGATAGGTGATTTCTGTAATTTAAACCAGCTGATTTCTAAAATTTTAAGTCAAAAATATTAAAGCAATTGTGTCTTTATGTGTATATATGTGTGTGAAAGTATTTTGAAGATGTTTTATTTTTTAATAAACAACACTTGTTTATTATCACTGAACACAGTTTTAATTTAAGATAGCTTCCCTCTAAATCCATTTGGAATAGCACAGCATATTCTATGATTCTATATATCCATGGTCTTTCTCTAGGATTGCTTTCTTTGATGGCTTAGTGACACTGTAGCACCTTTGGGAGAGCAATCCTTGTCAAATCTTTTAAACAGGACTTGTGTCCAGCAGCAGAGGCAGTGTGGCTCGAGGGCAAACTACAGCATGTACTAGCACTGTCACCCCTAGCTGAGGGAAGATGAACCATAGTTTACTTGCAGTTGGCTCTGGAGGTGGGAGCTGCTGGGTGTTCTGGCTATTCCACTTAAGGCTCAAGCAAAACCACTCAGCTTGCCGTATTCTCAGGGGTATTAGCTGTGGCTCTTGAATGAACTGCTAAACAATACCCCTAGCAAATCATGCAATTATACCTACCAAGTTGGTGTTGGCACAGAGCCTGTAAGTTGCTTTAGGACTCGGTTGCATTTTGTTTGCTTGGTTCTTTAATTGTAGGATTTTTGGGGCAAAACTTTTGGTCACTGCCCTTTATTTAGTGGTGTTCTGACACACTGTAGTAACATACAACCCCTCCTAAGCTCTCTGCCAGCCTCCTCCCATCGTTTCTACAAGAAGGGCTGTGACAAGTCATTCCTTAAGATTAATTTTTCCCGGTTATTGGGGGTTCTGTAGAAGTTCGCTTCTCTACTTTTAGAGACATGCTGCTAGTGAGGCTCTTGAAGAGGGACGAACCCTGTAAGTTCCCTAATTCAGCTTTCAGCAGACTCTAAGCCACTTGCCTACGGCAGACTTAAAAGGCAGCTTTGCAGTTGTTTAGCCACTGCATTGACATGGGGCTTGGCAACACCCGGAGGAATTTTGCTGCTGAAATCCAGAGCAGCCGCTCGCAGGAGCGGCTCGGCAGGGCACTGCCGCAGCAGCAGCCGAGCCGCGCGCCCCAGCACCGCGGGCCGGCGGAGGGACAGCGCCTCTCGGCCCCGGACAGCTGAGGGCGGGAGCCGGGCACCGAGCGGGTCTCAGCCCCCTCCGGCTCTGGGTGCTCGCAGCTCCGAGGGGCGCCAGGACGGCGAGGGAGCCGCGACCCCTCCCCGGGAGGCGTGTCGTGAGGGCTGCGGGCGAGGCGAGCTCCAGGCGCAGGGTCCTCGCCGGCAGCGGCGGGGCGAAACCCGCCGCCGAGCCCTTGCGGGGCCGGGGACTGCTCGCACCTCGCGGCCGCTCTCTCCAGGCCGTATATGCGCAGCCACGTTCCCGTGCTGGCCCGGCCCGGCCCGGCCCCCGCTCTCGGCGGAGCCGCTCACTGCGCCTTGAGTGACGGCGGCTGCGCCTTTGGCGGCGGGCGGGCGGCACCGGGCGGCGGCGGCGGCGTCTCCCGGCTGCGTCCCTCAGCGCCGCAGGCAAGGGGGCGGCGCGGGGCCTCTGCTGAAAGCCGATGGGGCGCCGGAGAGCAGGGTGCCGGAGCGCCCAGCAGGCGAGCACCTGACGCGGCTGAGGACGGCTTGGCTGCGAGCGGGCAGCCCTGAAATGGCGAAAGCTCCCCTCCCAGGTAAGTGCTGAGCCTGCGCGGCGCAATGGGGCAGTCTCGAGGGGAGAGCGAGGCCCCCGGGGCGGGATGGGGCGGCCCCGAGGGGAGCGCGGGGCCCCGGGGGCGCGGCGGGGACGAAGCTCCGGCGCGTTCCCCGCCCACCCGCGGCTCCGTGGCAGCGCCGTCTCCGCGTCCTTCGCCGTCGGCCCCGCGGAGCGGTGAACGCGGGCTCGTGTGGACGAGGCGCGGGTACACTTGACCTCGTCGTCGTTATCGAGCGCGGCCCGCTCTGCCTTCGGCGCCCGCGTCTGCCGGGGCCGTGCGGGTCTGCGGGGGCGTCGCCGCTGCCCGGCCTCCTCGTGCTGGTCCGGGAAGGGTCTCTCCCAGCTCCCGGGGAATTCCGTGGCTGCCGCCTGGTCGGGCCGGTGCTCGCTGCCGCCCAGTCGGGAGGAGCAGACCGAGAGGCAGCAGCCGTGGTCAGAGAGCGGTACAGGTGTGCAGTTGGGTGGAATTTGACGAAAACCTGCGCTGCGCGGTGCCCATTCCCGTAACTCGTGCTTCCTCTGGAGCCTGAGCAGTGTGGAGGTTGGAGGTCGGTTGGCTGGGGCTGAGACCAGGGCTTGAGGATGCTCAGCAGCAGCACCCTGATGTCCCGTGCCCGGTGGCAGTGCAGCCTGAACGAGGCAGCGTGTCTTGTGTGTGCACGAAGCCAGAGCAGATGAGAGTGCAGTTGCTGATGCAGAAGTGGTTTTCTTCTAGCTTCCACACAGAACCCATTGCTGTTGCTGGCGAAGGCCTAACTGCTATGACTGAAGGGTCAGTATGTGACACTGCTGCTGTTTGGTGCTAGGTCTGGACACAGCTTTACAGCAGCATGGCAGTATTAAAGCTAAACCCAAAAGGATGTTTTTTTTTTTCCAGCACATTTATTTCTTTACTCCCCCAAAATAAACATGGAGTGGTGGTAGCCCAGAGCTGGAACACTCAGGAACATGAGAGCATGAATAATTTCAGAGGATGCAAATAAGGATTGAACTAAATGTTTCTTTTCCGTCTTTGGAAGATGAAGAAGTAATCGAATGGGCGAAAAGTCTCATGGCTTTTTTTTTTGGCATTAGCTTACCGTTCTTGTAAGTTTGATAGGAAAATAAGAGGGCATTGCTTTTGCTTTCTGTGATACATAAATAATGCAGCCTGCATACATACTTTGCATGTTCAAGTACAATTTTGCACAGGAATTTTAAAGCATAGTACTTGTCTTGGATGTGATTTCACTGAAAAAGTATGTATTTTGAAAGAAGCTTTGTGATGTCAATACTTACTGCAAAGAAAAGCAAGAGACCATTCACAGAGAAGGTCTGGAAGAAACTATCTGGTCTAGGCATAGGGAAAATGTGCTGCTTTTATAAATTGAGCTTACCGAGTTTATCAATGTGAGCTGCAATATGCACAAATATTAAAAAGTTGTTTTGCTCATATGTATCCTACCTTGCCGCCCCTGCCAGTGCTGTAGCCTTACCTCAAATAGAAAGGAAGACCAAAATTGTAGTGAAAATGTGCTGTTTGCTCACTGTTGAGTGACAGGTGTGCTGGTAAAGGGCTTTTAGACATAGCCCACACCTGACTCATTTGAGTAGCCAGATCTCACCTGGTGAACTCCAGGCTCTAAGCACTTGGAAGTAGTCCCTATGCAGAAATGCTTGGGCATTTGCGAGTGTTGATTGTAAAACCACATAAAGACAATTGCAGATCACCACCTGGCATGTCCCTGTGGGAGTGGTAGAGTATCCACTTTTCAGTTCTGACTTCATTTTTAACAGAGCACAATGACTCAAAAATGCCAGAGCCTCCTCAGAAAGCCAGAATCTCTGCACTATGAAAGTAGAGACTTTCAGATGTGTTGCAGGCAGTCCACCTACAGTCATTGCAGGAAAAAATTGGAAAATATTCATATCTTTTCTGGTTTTGGGGAGTCAGTTTGGAGGAGGTGATGACACTGCTGAGAGGGAGGGTGAAGTTAATTTTGGCTGTGGGGAAGCTGGCATCTGAAGCATGAAGAAGCAGCTCTGGGAGATGTACAGTGTTTACAGGAAAGCTTGATCTAGGATTTGAAGTCTGAACAGTCATGTTAAACTTCTTTTCTCTCTTCCTCCACCTCACTAGTAATCCTGTAAAGTACAAGACTGCAAATGTCACTGGTGCCTTAAAATAGAGGCTTTAAGGCCTACATGGCTTAGTTTCATGATTTGTTTTCTGTACTCAATATTCAAATATATGCCCATCCTTACCATCTGCTGCAGAACTGCCAGTGGAGGGATATACAGAGTAGACAACCAGGGATTTCTCACTGTGAAATTGCTGTGACATGAAAGACATTGAATGAGGAATGGGGGAGAGGAGCTGGTTGTGTTGGCCACTTCTGACCACAGTGGCCATCAGTTAGGTCTTTCACGTCTTGACAAGAGAACCTGCAATTTGTGGACTTCTGTATCTAACTATATCTGGCTTTGTCACCTGTGTATTTTGACAAGGGAGCTTGACATCTTGACTTGATCTTCCACTTTTTTCTTCCCCATCCCCTCTGGCATTTTATGTTCTCTCTACCCTCCCTCTCACCTCCCACTGTTGTTTTTCTTCCTCTGCTCCTTTAGCCTCACAGTTTTGTAGGCCTCCTACTCCATGCTCCTCCTCAGCTCCTTCTGCTGAGTGTGTTCCATTTCAGCTGCAGCTGATTTCATTTCAGTTCCAGTCTCTGATGCAGATTCATTCTGTGATTTTGGATGAGACCTGCTATGTGGTGGCACAGCAGGCCTCATACAGATGAGGAGGCCTGCTCTCCGTAGTGGCGTACGTGGCCCTTCTGTTTCGCTGGTCAGTGTGCAGGCAAGGACTTCTCTGATCAGCATCTCCCTCTGTCTTGTATGAGCTCCTGAGTCTTAGGAGTGCCTCCAGTAGTTAAAGTCACATACTTATAACGTACATCTTCAGTTTTATGATTTCCAGATAGGAAATAAAACATAACTAGGAAATAATAGTGGGTGAACTTGGCCTCCAGTAAGTCTTAACTTCATAGTCACTAGGTAACACTGTGTGGGTAGCTCACTTAAATCACTTAATGGGTAGGCAAGAAGCATCTGAAACCTGCAAAACAAAAGGAGCTATTATTATGCAGCAACAGTCAGTAGCAATAGCAAAGGTCATTCCTCCTACCCAGCATCTCTATCCAAATGGAAAAATGACTTGTACTTTTAAATTTTATTAGGACAACTGCCCCTGAATTCAAAATGGTGTGCTTCTAAAACAAGTTTTGACAGGTGGAAATTTTCTAATCTGTGTAATAGAGTCTATTTTTTATTATTTTTTAATTGAGATTCATTCAGTCCTCAATATTTGACTGTGTAAAAGACTGAGTTTCCAGTAGCTATGAGAACACTGTGTGCTGTTTCATCTCTACCTAG